CTCCTTTGTTATTCTCGAAAGTGCCAGTTCATCCTCGCCCCGAGCACGCGAAGCTCGAGCCTTCTTTGCTGAACTTTCGAGATAGTGACGCACGGTAGATAAGCAGCTACCCGCGACCTTCTCGAGTCAGTCTCGCTAATGCTCTGTAGTGCTGACGAATCGCCACAGCAGAAGAGCACGATGCCACCGCCGCTCGACATCGACCCCGAGCTCCCAGTCCCGAAGCGCCGTCAACTGTTTGATCTCCTCGCAGAATACAGTGACTGTTTTGCCACGACATCGAAAGTTCGGCAAACACCACTGGCGAAACATCGCATTATTACTAACGACGACGCACTCCCTGTCCACCAGTCGCCGTATCGAGTCTCCTTAAAGGAAAGTGATTCAAGATCAAGTCCAGGAGACGACCGACGTCGAGAGCCTCCAAGAACGACGGAGCGCTCCCACTCTCCCGACGCCACGCATCACAACGACGCTCCTGCATCGGTGTCCAACAACCTGAACATTGTGATTGACTGCCTCGACGCATCGGCACTCGTGGACACCGGAGCAGACTACTCAGTCCGGAGTGGGACGCTCTCCCGCCGCCTTCGAAAAGTCATAACGCTGTGGGATGGACCACAAATAAGAACCGCCGAAGGACACCTCATTACACCAGTCGGGAGATGCACTGCTCGCGTCGAGATCCATGGTGAGACATGCCCTGCGAAGTTCGTCGTTCTGCAAGGCTGTTCGAGGGGCGTTATCTTCGCAATGGACTTTCTCTGCGAGTATGGCACCGTCATCGACCTCGCGGCAGATCAGTTGAGGCTGCGAAAGCCTGTCCTGCCGCCGGTGGAGACCAACACGACGACAACCGCTATCCGAGTTATCGCCGACCATGTGAACCTACCCCCGCGGTCGAGTCTTTTCGTCACCGCTATAACCGACGCAGCCATGCACGATGAAGATCTTCAGGAAGACAGCGTCCAACTGCTCCTCGAAAAAGGAATTGGTGTCGCAAGAGGCGTAACGGATCTCCAAGAAGGACGTACAACTGTTATTGTGACCAACTTTCGAGAGGAGCCGCAGCACCTAACGAAGGCTATCATCGTGGGTCACGTCGAGGAGCTTCAGGCGCGAGCCGTGGTCACTGCAATCTCCGAGGAAACCTCGTCATTAATTAAACCTTTATCATTCAGTTCAGTTTACGCCCCAGCGTTCGACTCAGCTGCTACGCCGACTTCGACGCCCCGCGACGCTCTGTTATCGTTTCTACCCTTTTATTTTTGGCACAAGTTCGCCACATTAAACGTTTATTTCTTCCTGCTTATTTATTGTTTTTTGGTCCCCACCCGTGATAATATCATATGCCTGTCTAGGTACATTGTTATATTGCATGATTTATAATTCAGCATATTTTTGCGTCGGGACGGTAAGGGCAAGGGACCCTACTGAATGTCAGTGAGTTTTAGGGTATCTTTGGATACTTATCAATATATTTCGTGGAGGATCTCGCCATGGTTGATCGCAAACAGAAGAAAAAGGAACGCGCGTGTGAATCCCTACCGAAAAATGATTTGTCTCCTGCATGAAGGTAAACTGCTTTATACTGGCAACAGTTTAGCCATACTGACCACAGGCTTGTAAAACGGGCCATCCGTTTGAGCCACACCGGTCCCCGGCATGGGCAAACGGGTAACTCGTTTGGGCAAACTCTTTACTCGCTTGGGCAAACGAATCACTCGTTTGGGCAAACTAACCACTCGTTTCGGCAAGTGGATCATCCGTTTGTTTAAACAAGCGACCATTTCGCTCAAGTGCGTTTCCAGTGACAGTCAAACTGCACCAGTTTAATAAAACGGCGCGCTCATTACGCAGTGAGTCCGTTTGGTAATGAAATACAGAGCGGCAGCACAGGCACCGTTTGCGGCTACCCATCTCGGAGAACAATACAACGCACTGGTTCAACAGCACGTAGATATTTAATGACTGCTATCACCTTCGCCGCTATCCCAACAACTTCTGCGCATATGCCAAGGTATATGTACATATGGTAGCGAAGCTTCCATAGAACCCCACGTGTCGAAAAAATGGCGGCTCATGGGGCTTCGCTAGCGCCATCTATGTGTCGTGATAGCATTTCCGGCGGAACAAAAAATAAACAGGAAGTTACGTCACTTCCGAAAAAAAACCAAAAACGTGACGTCACTTTGATGTATTGTTTGGCGCGAAAATTAAATATAACAAGAAACCGAGACTGCAGGCAAAAAGGACGATCGTCCTTTTTGCCTGCAATCCCGATTTCTAAAAAAAGCCTCAAAGCTTTCTGGTACTAAAAAATCTCAAACAAAGCTGTGCCAAGCTATGTTTGACTTCTTTTAGTGTGTTGTCCTTCTTGCCTGCAGTCTCGGTTTTTTTATGTTGAATTTACCCCACCCCGTTTGGACTCTTAAATCTGCGCGAAAATAATTTAATTTTTGTATGCGGCCGCCTTTTTTAGGCAGCTCACTACGAGAATATTTTTTCTTCATCCCACAGAACGACTTTTGCTTTTTTCTTCAGCTTTTCCGAAATGTAGGAGCGGCTTTAAGGTGATTGACCTCACAAACAAAGTGAATAACAATAACGTTTCTCGAGTGTGTTAGCGTTGAAGATACGCAACAGTAACTCAAATGCAGTCCAATGTTACACTAACATTTTATTCACTTAAAACTGCTTACAATCACTGAACCAGAACGCTCGTCAGAAGCATACAATCATACCTAGTTTTAAGGTGGAACAAAACTAGATCAATACACAAGGCACATTATGACAGGATAGCACGTAACACACTGTACAATTGGTTGCCTGTTGTGTGGACATTGTCAATTTATAGACAGCCATCAATATAAAAAAAATTCAAAGTGTTTGGAGGAAAGCTGTGTTCAACGAAAATAACAGCCGATTTTGCCGTTCTTTGGCAAGGTACCATAATCCAGAAAACTTTCTAACTTGAGTATGATGGTGCTGTGTACTCTGTAACCTCCCATTACGCGTAAATAATTTTGGTGCCCTCCAGTACGCTGCGGGTAATAGGCCAGTGTTTCGTCGGACCCTAAAACCACAGGTTTAATTCAGTGACAAAACGACATGAGCAGTCAGTAACCCAAAGCACAGTAAGCACCTTGACTTTCGCGATGACCTAAAATTTAATAATTTCACAGGTTGAAAAACCTCGCAAAAAATGACTCAGTCCAAGGATATGAAAGCAATAAATATTGTTCTAGATCGCGAAATTGTGCGCCCGCCAGATTTTTTCGAGACACGTTGAAAAATATCGAGCAAACGAAAATAGTATTTTATACCATACGAAAGGCTAGGAAAGCACATATACTTCTTTTAAAATGTACGCTGTGTAGTCTCAAGAGCTTAGCCTTTGCACGTGCTGCCTAGTTTTACACCTTGCTGATGCATCAACAAGTTCAGTGTTTTTTTTTTCGTGCAAACCAGTGTAGCCTGACTCTTGCAAACAGAGAAAACAAGTCGTCATACACATTGTTGTCACACACAACAAGAGACTTTTGGACCTCCTGATGAAAAAGTACACAAAGAGTGCGCCCTATGCCCTCCTTTGAAATAAGGTTGTTGATCCTCGCCTCGAAAACACGCTCACATGCCTCAACGAATGATGTGAAGGAAGGGGAGGGAACTGACAGGTTTCCAAAGTCCGAGTCAGCAGTGCCTTTCACACTCAAGTACAGTAAAACTTGGTTTCCTTCAGAAAAACATGCATTTTCTTTCTTCAGCTCACATCGCTGAGATGTCCCGACACAAGAATGACCCTTCAAAAATCTTGTCGCAAGCCACCCAGAAAAATAAACCATGTTGTTCGCTACCATGGCCGAAGGGTAGTTTAAGGGCGACTCGTCTGCTGCGCTAAGGAAAACTGAGCTTCCCAAGGGTAGAGAAGCAGAGGGTGCCGATAGGCCTACCGGAAGAGTAGCAAGGAGAGACATCATGTCCTCAGCACAGTTTGATTTTTCAGTCAGCTTGAACAAGTTGCTTACCAAAAGATGTCTGAACGCTGCCTGAAACTGACGAGAAGTAGAGTTTGCGTTTGCTCCAGACTTCGAACGTAGAATAGCAAAGGTGTTTTCAAGCGTATCCTGGTTTAAGTGGCGGGTTAAAATGTAGGTGAAACCAAAATTAACTGTGAGGTGATTGCAGAGCATCATCAGAGACCTCATTGTTAAGCAAAAGCCACGAATGCAGTTTGGCTGCCGTCTACATCCGAGTACTTGCAGGGTTTCAAAAACTTCAATGCATTCTTTGAAAAACTCTTCATGGACAGAGCCATTATGCATCGCAGAGGCGAAGGGCGTTTTCGCCGATTTGTGGGAGCTATTTAGGCTGTCAAAGAGACGGTCGATTCTTTCAACGAATCTCGCTGTGTGAATAGCTGCAGCTGGCAATTGCTGGAACGTTACGAAGGCATACATTGCAGCAGCACAATGGTTGCTAAAAACTTGGGCCGCTAGTTTCACCGACATCTCTGAGCAGAACGTCAAATCAAAGTGCTTTGCGTTCAGCTTGGGCATCGAACGGATCTCAAGTTTCCGGTCCTTTTCATAAGCTTCCTTTATGTACGAGCTTTTTACTACTTGATCACAAACCTTGAAGTCATACTTAAATAGCATGTTTCTTAGGCACTTCAGGAGGTGCGGAGCATCAAAGAGGAAAAAAAGAGGTTTGCCGTTGACATCTATGTAAGGCTTCTCGGGGGTTATAAGGCTTGAAAAAGGGAGATGTTTTGGCTCCCCTGATCACATACCACAGCTACTGGCTCCAGGCCAGCATCCACAAGGAGGCTGTAGCACTGGAAAAGAAGATCTTGTAATACATTCGTAGGTGTGCCTTTATGAGCGAAAAAGTAGCCAAGTGGCTGCTTCCATGGTGTTCGAATTCCTTTTGCCATAAACACAAGAGCCTTGTTTGATAGGTTCGCACCTTGCACACCATTACTATACTCTTCAAGTCCTTCAAACCTGTCAGATGAGGGGTTGTATGAGAGCTCTTTTTTAATATGCATCTCATCAAACACTATGCTGCAGGCTCGATCGGCTCGTGAAAAAGAAGTCGCTCGCCTCTTTACCAGCTCGAAAATTTCGGGGTAAAATCCAACTCTCAGTGGAACACGCTGAAGCCACAGCTGCAGTGATCGGACTGATGGCAACCGAAGCAGTCGTCTACAATACTTATAGCCTTTTGGGCTATGAAAGTAGAGGCCCAAAGCCAAAGACTTGTTCTGGCTGCACCACCGTCGACCAAACCGGCTCACATCCCTCATCCTAAGCTGGGCCTCAACGAGTGCAGCGACAGCTGGAGAAACATGAATGCGGACACTCTCAACAACTTCAGCAACAGTCCCCATCTGACGCTGTCGTTGCAGCCTTCTTTGCAGCCTCTTGTTTTGTTCTCGGACCTGTCGTACCTTGGCCCTCAGTGCGTCCATCTTTCTCTTGTCAGTGCTGCGGGCCTTGCTTGATGCTGCAAGGTGACAAATCACCCAGATCAGTAAACCGTAAAAATGTTTATATATATGTAAATGGTGGCCAATAAGAACTTGCATTCCTTGTCAAGTTGCACAATTTTTTTTTAAAACCAGGTACAGTGAAAAGTTTGATAACGTACTACATACGTGCAAATCAAATTTTAATAAGGTTAGCATCATGCACGTATGGCCCAGGCAGTTTTTAGCTAGCTATAAAAAATGCTGCCTTACACGAGGCTTTGCGAAAAGATTATTGCATTACCATTCAGTGAAACCCATTCAGGCGTTTTGGTGGTTCGTCTGTGAAACTTTATGAACATTTTGTATACATTACTTTAAATATAATATTGTGAAGCACAAATAAATGGTGGATTTTCAACTGACTCCAGTTTGTAGCTGGCTGCCATCCGGCCTTGTGTTCTGTGACATAGTGCTATATGTACCCTTGTATGTACCGCCAACTTTCAGAATAAATTTTAGTATCTTCAAGTCATCTGATACCTATAACTAGCCTTGGTTGTTTATGTTCGGCGACTAATTTGTGCACTTTAACAATACAAAACAAAAAGGTGCAAGAGGTAAAATGAAAGAGCACTTACCTCTGTGAGAAAGTACACCGGCACTGCTAGAGAGAGAGTCCTCAGGTGACGGTCCATAAATCGACGGCGCCATGTCAGCCATGTCTCCGCTGGACTCGTGAGCAGGAACAGCATTTTGAGGAAGGGCGTAGCTATGATCAGCTTCAAAATAAATAGAAAAAATAGAAAGTGCTGTTACAATACCTGTAGTAAGAGCAAAAAAACACAAAAAAGTCAGAGCAACAAGGCGCGCAGAAACGCCCTGCTCTCCCATCACTTACCATGAGCCTCCAGTGGACTGTTCTCTAGTGGGAGACAGGAATATGTGTGGTCCCATGAAGCTGACGAACATCCCTCTGCGAAGGTAATGTGAAAACAGTGAATTAGTGGTTGAATTTCAGATTCATTCTACTTTTTTAACATCTGAAAATGAGAAAAAGAAATTACCTTCTTCCAGGGACAGCCCGATTTCGGAAGACTGGTCGTCAGGAATGCCACAGGAACTCTGCGAGTCTGGGCGGCTGGAGTATGTGCAGGTCAATGAAGTTGGAGAACTCCACCCTGCAAATTTAACATGAAGTTATTGAAGGCATAGCGGTTAAATTCCTAGTTGATTCTCGTATTAAAAAAAACAATCACCTTCTTCCAGTGACAGCTCGATTTCGGAAGACCGTACGTCAGGAATGTCGCAGGAACTCCGCGAGTCTGGGCGGCTGGAGGATGTGCAGCTCGATGAAGGTGGAGAACTTCTCCCTGCATGTTTAACACAAAGTTATTGAAGGAGTAGCGGTTGAATTCTTGGTTGATTCTCCTATTAAAAAAAATCACCTTCTTCCAGTGACAGCTCGATTTCTGAAGACCGTACGTCAGGAATGCCACAGGAACTCCGCGAGTCTGGGCGGCTGGAGGATGTGCAGCTCGATGAAGATAGAGAACTCCTCCCTGCATATTTAACACAAAGTTATTGAAGGAATAGCGGTTGAATTCTTGGTTGATTCTCCTATTTTAAAATCTGAAAATAAAAGTCACCTTCTTCTAAGGACAGTTCCATTTCGGAAGACTGGTCGTCAGGAATGCCACAGGAACTCCGCGAGTCTGGGCGGCTGGAGGATGTGCAGCTCGATGAAGATAGAGAACTCCTCCCTGCATATTTAACACAAAGTTATTGAAGGAGTAGCGGTTGAATTCTTGGTTGATTCTCCTATTTTAAAATCTGAAAATAAAAATCACCTTCTTCTAAGAACAGTTCCATTTCGGAAAACTGGTCGTCAGGAATGCCACAGGAACTCTGGGAGTCCGAGCGGCCCGGGTATCGGTAGGTCGGTGGGGCTGGAGAACTCCTTCCTGCAAATTTAATATGAAATTAGTGAAAGAGTAGCGGTTGAATTTCTCCCCCAATTCGCTTATATTTAACATCGGAAAAGGGAAATAGCTTTATTTCAAGGACAGCTTCATTTCCGAAAGCTGCTTGTCAACGTGGACAATGCAGGTCTGTGGGCCCATATTGGAGTCGCTTACTCACCTGAGGTTGAAAATGTAGTAAATGGGGCCTGGAATGAGACTCAATCAATGACTCCTATCTGATTCCCCACATTTGTCCAAGCACACTTTATTCTGTAGCAAAATGCTCAAGTGATGAAGAACATGAACTAACACAGTGGTGACGGCATTTGCTGCCTCTTTATGGTAGGTACAGCGAAAAAGCTCACCATTTACCACTGCAGAAACTGTACAGCTCTCGCTTGAAACTTCGCCACGTGTCGTTTCTGTGAAATTGCATAAATGTTATAAGTCCACAAAAGCAATTTTTCGGGCCCATGTGCTAACTATTTCCCTAATCAGTGGGCCTTGACATGGTTATTCTGAAAGCGCGTCGGAAGGTCTAGTGGTCTGGTCACCTTCAGGGGCAAGCACAGTCGGCAGTGCATTGTGGCGTAGGTATCCAGGCCGCAGAAAGCTGACGCCTTGAAATGTAAAGAGCAAACAACCATGTTTCGTAGCTGCCATGGAGTCTTCCCCTGTAGGCCCCGGTTGTTGGAGAACCCAACCCATGCTTCACGCCTGCGGATAAAGCGCGGTGCTATCTAAGTGTCTTGCGTACTTGCAAAGAGCAAATGTAGCCAATATGTGCACACACCAAAGCAAATCGGAGCGAGGACATTCACAGATTAGTGAGCAAAACTCTCTGTATGAAACACAAAAAGATAAACATGAGCCTTTAGTGCAGAGGCTTTTAAATGTATCTATGTCGTGTTGCATCCTTGATTAGAGCGTCGATGAGTATGACCCCATACTCCTGAGGGGCAAATCGGTTCAGGTAAATTCAAATATCCTGGGCGCTTTCGTAATGAGCGCGAACAACGCTGCAAAGTCAGCGAAAACTAACAACAGTTAAGAGAACATTTTACAAGGGGGGCATGGCCACAACACAGCAGGCACCTCACTGACAGGAACAAAATCTCACCTTCGAGTGTCGACAGGAAACCGGTGCAGCGAGACGCCAGCCGTGCGGTTGTCACTTCGGCATTTTTCCACGGAGCAACGCCTCGTTGCATAACGTGTTGAGCTCATTGTCACGAAGGACGTTGAGCCCGTCGGACGCAGTAGCGTCCAACCGCACGAAGGTGACTGTTCCTATATCACGCTGATATTACGCTCCTGCGCACGTAACTTGCGTAATCAGGCTGAGCGAACGAAACTTTTCAAACTATTTGAAGTGACGGTAGAACGATTCAAAAAGCACGTGGAGACCTAAAAGAAGCAAGCAGACGGACAACAAGAACCTGCCTCTTCGTGCAGCACGATGCCTCTGCAATTTATCGCTATTAAAAGCCAGCCTTGTTGCTCGTGCAGTACAGAGGGCGCCAAGGGCAAGTTAGAATAATTGTAGTAATAAAAGCTATTTCAGCTTTCTCGAGCGCGATAAACCTTATTTACGACCACTAATAACAACATACAAAATTTAAAAATACAATTTAGTATAATTTAAATTAAAGTTATTTTATTTGTATATAGTTTGCCATAACGTCTCCTAGTCGCGCTTCAAACGCACCGTAACCACGTGACCCTCCTGGTTGATGTCGCTGGCAAATTGTTTTGTACCGTGTTTTGGCCCAAGTTTCGCTACCATCTGTACATATATACCTTCAACGAGGTAGAGGGGCTTAGAGTGATAAACCGGAAGTTCGGAAGTGGCACCCCCCCGGTTGCCGCCATATTTTACGCAAATGTGACCACTCGTCACGTGACCTCCCAAGAGCCGTGACGTCACAGGTAAGATGGCAGCGCCCAGAGCTGGCGGATGCGAATTTGTTCGGTGCGCGGTAGCCGTGATGTGCAGCTGCTTTCCGACGACTTCGGGCTTCTTCGTGCTCGCTGACGCAGGTATAATTTGAAAATATGAAGGAATGAGACTTTATACCGTTTTTGCGCAAGATCGCTCTGGATCATCTGGATATTAACGCCTGTGAGACAGCATCAGCTCTGCATCGCCGTAGCGGTGCTTGGATTCCGGGATGTGTCCGAGGATCGATAGAACTTTGAGTGCTTTTAACATGAAATTTTCGCATTCTCTAAGCTTTGTTTGAACGTTGAAATATCTGAGAATCTACGCGAAATGTATACGTCGGGTTAGGGCCTAAGGGAAGTTGTTTCAGCCCTCCGTCACCGAACAACCATAGCAACTTTTAGCGAGGAAGCTCCTGCGATTTTAACCTTTTGTGCTAATCCACGATTCTACATTCGATCGCTTTTCTTCCTTTTTTTTTGGTGTGTGTGTGAGTGCGAAGTGCACCCTTATTTTCAGCTACGAGGTTGGCGTTTTATTGAGTATGGGGAAGAATAAATCGTTGCTGGCACCTGCTTCAAAGCTATTCGACTTTCTATAAGAACAACTGTTTTGGTGCATGCATAGATTAACTGCGCATTTTTTCTTTTTTCTAGGATTTATTGCAGCTATACTCTTTTCCATCAAGAGTGCATTGTATTAGTCGGTCAATTATTTAATTGTTCTAATTACCTGGATAAGATGATTCATATTTGTGTTCATCCCTTTCCTGGAGATCAGTCTTGTTGAAAAATGTTGACTACCATTCCTTTCGGTCTCTTCAATAGACTCTTTTTAAAAGTATGGGCTGTCTATACTTCGCATCACCGTAACTTGGAAAAGGCCAACCGTCACAGCCCCCTCGAGCCAATCAGAGAGACGGAGCGAAGGTGTGTGACAAATCTGTGCAGACGAGCACTCTGGTGATATGCTGTCATGTGCCTCTCTCCAATGTGTGTATTGACTCACCGAGACCGTAGCCTTTGCCGTCTGCCAAATTCTGATGAAACAAATTACAGTAGCTACTACTGTAATTACCCCAGGCTTTCATACTTTGGGTATTTGTTCGACAAGAATGTTATGTCCGCCATCCCTGTGAATTCGGCTCAGCACCTATTGGACTCGAATGCTGCATTGGCGTTCGACGTGAACTGGGGCCCATTTGTGTGCTTTGCGCCGAAAAAAATGGTGACGGTTGTGTTGCTTGATAAGGTTCTGCAAAGGGTCTATTGTGTCATACATATAGGAAGTGTCATGCTATATAACAATGCATCAACACATACTATTAAACTATATGCTCAGAGGTGTGTTTGTTTTTCCAATTAACAAGTTACAGCAGTGTGCGTTAATGCTATTATCATGTGTGTAGTTTTAAGTATCCTCTCTGCGATGCCTACGAAGGCTCCTGGAAGGAATAAATTAATAAATAACATTTTCACATCACTGGAGTTGGTTTTCGGATGCACCACATGTTCAGGAAAGGTTGAACGAGTACAGCCCCTTGCAAGAAGTCTGCCAGTCTGGTATGACCCCTTAATTAATATTGAAGGGTCAGAGAAGCGAGTGTCCTCGTAAGGTCCAGAGCCTGCAATGGACACAATTCTCGGTGTGTAGACTCTCAAGGCATGAAAGCAAGCGGAAATATGTTTATCTGGTTAGTGTATCAAATGTGTTTATTTCCACTTGATTACATAATTATTGATTCTTAGTAAATGGTTCCATAACGAGTTCTTTCTGCGACAGTCTCGTGTCAGGCGTTCAGTCGTAGTACCTGTGGACCTTGTTGTCGGATGACGCTCCTGGCACGTCGGTGTTCAGTTTGGTCGAGTGGCAACTTTGACCGACTGATGCTGTCTTGTAATCATATGTCATGTGCACTGAAGCTGCAGGGCTGGCTTCTAATCCGAAAATCTTCCTGGTAGTTTTCGGCATCAATGTAGCAAGCTCGGGCATGTATTGCTTACGTGGCTGTGCCTTTTGCTGTACTTTTGACTTGAAAGCTGGCAACAATTTTTGTTTGCTATCCAAGTCTGGTGATGCTTGCAGTTCACTTTTGAGAGCAACCAACCATTCTATTCCTTCAAGTCACTCAGGGGCATTCTCCCTCAAAGTTGGAAATTGTGTGCTTCGTGGAGTGGACACAGAAAATTGGTGTCACCAAATGTTTAGGTATTGTCCTTGGACGACAACCGACACCAAATCCACTGTCACTGCATCGCCGCTCACCTGCTTTGTCGTGCTTACCTCTTGTTGAGGTGATGGACATGAGGAGCTTTGGGGTAATCAGGGATTCAGAATCTTCGATTCAGCACCTTCGGCATCAGGGACAAAGGTCGCCGAAGGTAATCCTTAATCTCCCGTGGTCGCTCCTCGAGACATAATCGAGGGTCGTTTGGCACGAACCCTCGCCGACCAATTCATTGGTACGGGCTGC